GTCGGCGTAGCCGCCTGGTGCCAGCGCCGCCGCGCCGGTGCGCGCGCGGGTGCCCGGGGGGTATCGCTGTCGTGAAGGTAGAAAGTTCCGAGGGCGTAGCTGTAAGATAGTAGACTAGCGGAACAGTGCGCTTAGCTCGTGGGATTACAGAGTAGTTCGAGGGTGTTTTTGCTTATTGCCCGGCGCGCATGGGTCCTCCCCGCCGCGGGCCGTCGTCGCTCTGGGCTGGGCTGCGCCCGCGTGGGCAGCGCCGTGGGCTGCGCGCGTCGCGCCGGTTTGGGCTGAGCCGAAGCGCGTTGGGCCACGCGGTAGAATTGAGTTTTTCAAATTCCAGCAGAGTAGGAATGTTTATTCAATAATAGTTTGAGCAGAACTTTGAAAAATAGTAGTAAATTCTATAGATGTCCAAAAATAGTAAAACCAAGTTTATTAGGTTCACAAAAATACCATCCACCTGTTAGTGTAGTTAGATTACAGTTAGCTATGACAATGGTAGATTCATAAATTCAAACTAGAAAGCTTAGTATTGTAGATTAATAATTGTAGGAATTTTTATGTTAAATTGGTGATAGTTATTGCTATGAAAATTTTACAGTAGGCTCACTAGATTATTATGTACTTGCTGTAAATTTTGTAGCCCTAGAGTAGGTTAATAAATAGAGTAGCTATTATCCTTGCTTTATCATATATAGCGTAAATCAGCATTAGGAGTAAAAATACCTGTAGTTGCTATAATAATGTATGTCATACTCCATACTTGTTATTGGTAACAATAGATAATTTAGTACCTTGGTCGGTAGCACTAGCTTAATAGTTAGACAGATGTACTTTTATTTTAAGAGTTGCTGTTGCTATATTACTAAGTATTGCATCGTCATTTCATACATGTAGATCACGAGTTGGTAGAGTTCATGCCCGTCGACGAACAGGAGTATGAGGAAGTCATTGAGGAGTACGAGGAGGAGATCCTCGTGCAGGAGGGGGCCTTGAGCCTTTTGGTGCTGACTTTGTTGACCCATCGCCTGCCCAAGACAAGCCCCGGTGCATAACCCCTATTTATGATTACTGAATATATATATATGATGTGCATTTAAGTTACAGGCATTTTATAAAAACTACATGCATAAATATATCTACCCATAAGTCATACTAGTATAGGTCGAGTAGTTGCTATGCTCAGGATATCGGGAGCGTGAGTAACCTATCGTTACTCGCAAATAGGTGATAAATATGATCACTCATGATAAAATGGTGGAAAAAGGAAAATGGTGACCGGGCAGAGATATGGTTTGGGTACTGGTGGGTGTAAGGGGTTGTGTCCTGCGGCCAACAGGGCATAGCTCGGTTACACTTTTTTCCTATCTGTGTTGGTTAAGGACCGGTCGTTGTAACGGACGCTAGGCAAGTCACAGATCTATTGTCCCGAGCATATACTTGGGTATGGGCGCAGAGAAGACTTGTTGCTCTCTTGTCGTAGATCCGGCTTTTTCCGGACCAACTGATTGGAGGCAGGGATGATGGAGGTCCTTCCACCGCACTAAGTCCGGGACTCAGGAGTGGGGGCTTGGAGTCAAGTTTGGACGGGGACCTGGACACCCAGGACAGGAGGGTGATGGGTTGGTCTTGTCTGTGCCTAGGGTACAAGCGGAGCGTGTGTTTTTGGGGCACCCAGCTGGGCACATTGGTTCGCGAATCGCCGTCGAGTCGGTACGGCTTGTCTTAACTCTAGCATCGTAGTAAGAACTGAAAGATGAAAGATGATGAAATGGAACTGATTGCTCAACTCTTACTTGAAAGTAGAACAGATGCTTATATAGACTGGATAGGTAATAACTTAATACAGCCGATAATAATAACATAAATAAGGACTCGCTATTAGTATTGCTTTCTGTCAAAAGAAACCAGTAAACCATAAAGCTTATCATATCCCTTGGAGTCGGGAAATTATTCCCACTAGTCAGATAAGTCTTGCGAGTACATTATGTTCTCAGGGTTTATTTACCCCTGTTGCAGGTGATGCATGAGAAGTACCTTTGTGTGCAGGATTCTTCTGATGGGCACAGACGGATCCTTGTTCTTATCGCTAGATGTTTATTTTAAATTTCGCTATTTATTATTCCGCACTCTGACATTTGGTAATGTAATAATGTAATTTTTAAGAAACTCTGATGTATGAAATGGATCAGTATTGTAACTCGTTCTTATTATTGGATCCTTGGGAAAAATGTGGATCTTTCGGGTTCTCCCTTGGGGTGTGCCCGACGGATACCGCCCGCTGTAGCTTGCTTTCGGGGTGCTTAGTGTCTGGTGGAAGACGAGCACCTCCGTAAGCGTGTTATTTTGGACGATTCTGCCACACTGACTTTCTCCAATCACTAATAAACAAGGGCAAAGACATGGGACTGAGAAGACTAGCCATCCCCATGGAAACAAATCAGGACTTTCCAGTGATACAGTATGCTGATGACACATTAATAATACTAGAAGGGGATACCAAACATCTGCTTTTCCTCAAATCAGTCATCAACACCTTCTCTGAAGCCACAGGTTTAATGGTAAATCTCAAAAATCAGTCATCACCCATGATGCTACCAATTAACATCAGTGATGCAAGGCTAGATTTTTTAGCCAGGACTTTTGGTTGTTCCAAGGGGTCTTTCTCTTTCACCTATCTTGGACTACCACTGGGGCTGACCAGACCAACAATTCAAGATTATCAACCCCTAATAAGCAAGTGTGAGGCAAGACTAGCAAGTGTCTCAAGCTTTCTGTCACAGGCTGGAAGACTAGAATTGACAAATGTTGTCTTCACTACTCTACCCACTTACTACATGTGCACTCTAGCTCTCCCCAAGACAGTGATCAAGAGGATAGACAGTTTCAGAAAGCATTGTCTTTGGAGAGTCAATGAAATCAATGCTAGGAAACCACTAAAGGCAGCATGGAAGATGATTTGCAAAACTAAGGAAGGAGGGCTAGGTGTCATTGATATTGAAAAGCAAAATGAAGCCCTACTCCTAAAGAACCTAGATAAATTCTTCAACAAGAGGGACATCCCTTGGGTCCAAATGATCTGAGAGAAATACTACAGGAATGGAAAGCTGCCAGGACATACAAGAAAAGGATACTTTTGGTGGAGTGACAACCTAAAGAACCTCACTCATTTCAAGGAATTGGCAGTAATACAATTGCAATGTGGGGACATTATCCTGTTCTGGCAGGATAGCTGGAATGGACAGGAGCTTAAATTGGGGGTACCTGAACTCTTTTCTTATGCCAAAAATAAGCTCATCACAGCAAAGAAAGGCCTGGTTTAGATTGCAAATTTTTACAACCTGGACACTATAGCACGTTTCGTTTGTATTTGACAAACTTTGTCCGATTATGGACTAACTAGGCTCAAAAGATCCGTCTCGTGATTTACAACCAAACTGTGTAATTAGTTTTTTTACCTACATTTAATGCTCCATGCATGCGTTCAAAAATTGATGTGATGGAGAGAGAGTGAAAAAACTTGGAATTTGGAGGTGATCTAAACAAGACCAAAGTATTGACTCATGAGGACCTTACCCAGCTTTTTCGTCTGCCAATCTCAGAGATAGCTTTTGAGCAGCTGCAGCAGATGACACAAATGCTAGACAGATTAACAACAACAGAAAATGCAGATGTTTGGAAATACAGCTGGGGGATAAGTTCAACTCTTCGAGGGCCTACAAACTCCTAATGGGGCACCAGCAGATTCATAATGTTTATAAGTGGCTGTGGGATTGTCTATATCAGCCAAAGCATAAAGTTTTCTTTTGGCTCCTAATCAAGGATAGATTGAGTACAAGAAACATTCTGAGAAGGAGGAACATGCATCTTGAGTCCTACAACTGTGTTCTCTGCCTACAGAACACCGAAGAAACATGCCAACATCTTTTCCTCCAGTGTCCTTTTGCAAATCAATGTTGGCAGCTAATCCACATTGACATCCCACTGAATGTTGACTTCCTAGAAATTGCAGATTACTTCAAGGATAGATTGCACTCTCAATTCTTTATGGCAGCTGTTGTTCTAATGTGCTGGACCATTTGGGCAACGAGGAATGATCCGATCTTTAAAGGAATTCAGCCATCACTGAACAATGCTAGAGCCCTCTTCCAGAAAGAGATTCTCTTGCTTATGCATAGAGTGAAGACAAGGCTTAATCTTCAGTTTGAAGAATGGATCCAAAACCTGTTGTAACCCTTAGTTCTAAGTTTATTTTCTTTGTTTCCTTTTTTTTCCTTAGAGCTTTTGTTGTGTTGAACCCCTCTCTTGTTTATTTATAATAAAATTTATCTGTAGGGGCCAAGACCCCTCCAGTTTCTAAAAAAAAATGGGTTGAGGACTAGAGGGCAAGGTCCCTAGAAGGAAAAGAAAATGCTGCTGCCTCAACTGCCGAAGCCGAGAACAAAATGGCAGTGTCTCACTGCGGCACTGCCCACTCGAGCCGAGAGGCCCGAGAGAGCTCCGACGCTGGTGGTGCCGCAACGAAATTCACCATCAAACTGGGACCTCCAAAGGCCGTATCCAGAAATCAAAAGTCTTCGCTTTGGCTAGAGAGGTTTGCGTAATTTTCTAATTTATCTGGAGCTACCAAAGCACGAGCCACGGGCCACAGCCCACAGGGGCCTTGACGGCTGTCTTGACCTCCGCACAGGCACAACCCCAGCCGGGCAGCCAGTCCATGCGCGACTGCACCTCCACCGATCTCTGCCTCCCTCGCTCCGGCTCGCCCGCCTCACGTCGCGGCGCCGGCGCTGAAAAATTAAAGCCGACACGAGAAAAAAGGCAGGCAGGCAGGCACGCCCCCGCACGAACTTCCGTCCTACTCCCAACACCACCTCGCCGTCTCCACCGGGGCACGGCCCCGCTCTACTCCACGCTGCCTGTCCCCGATCCCTTCCCTTCCTCCTCAGATCCGCCGCCCATGCCGTCTCCCCGCACCGCACCCTACTAGCCTCTAGCAGCCGGAAATGGGTCGCCCCAGGATGCTCGGCGGCGCCGGCGGCGGCATCGACCCCATCGCCGAGGAGCCCCACCACCACGCGCGCTCCCCCGCCGACGGCGGCCTCGGCCTCGGGCCCGACCCGGCGGCCCTCGCCTGCGCGATCTCGGCCGAGGCCAGCGCCGTGCTCGCCGTCATGCGGCGCGGGCTCCGGCACCCGCGCGCCACGGCGGCCGACGACGCCGTGGCCGAGCACCCGCTGGTCGCCTCCCTCCGCGCGCTCCGCCGCCTCGCCTTCTCCCCGTCGTCCCCTGCGGCCGCGCTCCCCGCCGCCGCGCTGCGGCCCTTCCTCGACGCCGTCCGCTCCGTGGACGCCGGCGCCGCCGTCACCTCCGCCTCGCTCGCCGCGCTCCACGAGGTCATGTCCCTCACGGGGCCCGCGCTCCCGGGCGCCGCGCTCCGGGAGGTCGTCGACGCCGTCGCCATCTGCCGCTTCGAGGCCGGCGCCGAGCCCGCGGCCGAGGAGGCCGTGCTCATGAGGATGCTGCAGGCGCTGCTCGCCTGCCTCCGCGCGCCCGCCGCGCCCGCGCTCGGGGACCAGCATGTGTGCACCGCAGTCAACACCTGCTTCCGCGTCGTCCACCAGGCCGCGGCCAAGAGCGAGCTCCTGCAGCGGTTCTCGCGCCACGCGATGCACGAGCTCATCCGCTGCGTCTTCGCGCGCCTCCCAAAGATACGCAGTGCTGATGGAGTTGACGCTGCTGTCAAACCAGAGGTAAAAAGAGTGCTCGCTCCTGCTATTAATAGTAACTCATGCTTTTTTTGAGCTTATTACAAATGCCAGTCAACCCCGTATCTCACTCTTGACTCGAACAAGTTTACTGGTTAGTATAAGACATTAGTAACATCCAACACACAAAGTAGCATCCTATGAACTGCATTTCACAATTAAGTAGCAAATTCAGGACCATTCCGAGCAGAGCCTTTGGGTTCGCTTGTGTAGGTTTAAACTTGCGTGGTAGAAAATGCCACGCATGGGATGGAAATTACCTTTCATGCAGTTATTATGTCCAATTGTTAGCTCTTAGAAATCAATGTCTTGATGTAGGTTGCAGTTTTTGAGCCATTCAGATCTGTTATAAACTCTCTTAGTGATGCCTCTTTAGTTCCTCGCATAGAATGAAAATTGCAAATGAAACTGTATCGTACAAACAGTGGGGTAGATCTCAGAGGCTGGGAAATGGTGATTGTTTATCTTTTATGCTTGATAAAATGTACAAACAGGCTAAATCCGACAATGTTGCTGCTGCATATATGGCTATGTTTTAGTTTTTGCCACAACAAGTTTTGGAAGAGGCATCTTCGTCCTTGAACTCTTTAAAGTATCCCCCTAATGAGAGCCAAAATCAGCTGATTTGAGAAACATGCTTCAATATTCAGTCAGGTGCTCCTAAGCTAATAATCCCATCAGGTCAACTCTGCTAACATGACAAATGTTTATAAATTGACATCACCACTGCAAGGGTGTTGTGTATTTTGCGAATGTAGCTTTCCTCCTCACACAACTACACGCACAATTGATGTGACATTGCTGCAACTGCAACACAGTTGGCCATGTGGCAATGCTGCAGCATTCTTGGCCCCCTTTCATCTTTGAGCTCCATCCAATAGTGTGCATAACTACCCCTGTTTCAAAGGTGTCGCCTAGGTGTCTAACCGTACCCAGCTCGCCTTGGGGAATAGTGGTGCCTTATCGCCTAGGCATCCAGGCACACCCAGCTCTCGCCCGGACACCTAGTCACTTTGAAATCATGATAGCTACTGGCACTGCAACTCTACCAGCTCACTACCAATTGACTTTCTATGTGTGGTTGTGAGAGGAGAGCAAGGTCATGCAGGTTTTAGTTTAGTGAAATCTTTTTATGCATTTCAACTTTCAACTAGCTTGTTGAATTTCCAATTGAAATCTTGTTCAGGCCATGGATATTGATGTTTATAGCTAAAATTAGGAACACACAGAGATTGCTTCATCCAGATAGTGAAATAAGTAAGTTAGTTTTACAGTTAAGTAACCCAATTGATACTTGTATATATGTGTGCATATATCTGAGTTTTATCCAGGTGGAACAAAAACAAACATGGTCTCGGTCTAACCCCTAATAAAGGTTTCGCTCATTTGAGTATCAAAAAGGGCTTTTAGATGTTTGAAGTGTGCCTTGGTGTTTGTTTCCCTACTATGAACTGTTGCCAAGTACAGTATTATTGCATGTGCAGTGTGCTAACATTTTTGCTCGTTGGAAAAGGTTTATTGATTGTTTTTTGAATGTTATGGACAGATGGGTGGCATGGATGTGAATCATCCTTTTGGTATCAGGCAAATGGAAAATGGCAATGGAAGCTATGTGTCCGAGACAGGTACATCTGATGAGAATTCTGCAGATGGCAGTGGTCTTGTTGTAGAGCCTTATGGAGTCCCTTGCATGGTGGAGATCTTCCAATTCCTATGCTCTCTCCTCAATGTTGTTGAACAGATTGGCTTAGATGAAGATCTACCTTTGTTTGCTCTTAAATTGATCAATTCAGCAATTGAGCTTGGTGGGTCTTCAATTCAGAAACATCCAAAGTTGTTGTCCTTAGTGCAAGATGAGCTTTTCAGAAACTTAATGCAGTTTGGGTTGTCAATGAGTCCACTCATCCTTTCAATAGTATGCAGTATTGCATTGAACCTTTACCATCATCTCCGGACTGAGCTGAAGCTGCAGCTTGAGGCTTTTTTTTCTTGTATAATCATAAGGCTTGCACAACCTCGTTTTGGAGCAACATATCATCAGCAGGAGATTGCAATGGAAGCTCTTGTAGACTTCTGTCGACAGAAAAGTTTTATGGTGGAGATGTATGCCAATCTTGACTGTGATATAACCTGCAGGAATGTTTTTGAGGAGCTTGCAAATCTTCTATCGAAGAGTGCTTTTCCTATCAACTGCCCCTTGTCTTCCATGCACATTCTTGCTCTAGAAGGTTTGATTGCTGTGATTCAGGGGATGGCTGATCGTATCGGGAGTGCAACCTCACGCCCTGAGCTCCTGCCTGTGGAGCTTGATGAATACACTCCTTTCTGGACTGTTAAGTGTGAGAACTTTTCTGATCCTCGGCATTGGGTGAAGTTTGTGCGTCAAAGGAAGTATGTCAAAAGGAGGCTAATGATTGGTGCTGATCACTTCAACAGGGACCCAAAGAAAGGTCTGGAGTTTCTTCAAGGCACTCATCTGTTGCCTGAGAAGCTTGATCCCCAGAGTGTGGCTTGTTTTTTCCGCTACACAGCTGGTCTGGATAAGAATCTTGTTGGAGATTTCCTAGGCAATCATGACGAGTTTTGTGTTCAGGTACTTCATGAGTTTGCTCAGACCTTTGATTTCCATGAGATGAACCTGGATACAGCTCTGCGTTTATTTTGGAGACTTTCCGGCTTCCTGGTGAATCTCAGAAGATACAGAGGGTTCTTGAGGCCTTCTCAGATAGATACTATGAGCAGTCCCCTCAGTCTTTCGCAAACAAAGACACTGCTCTAGTGCTGTCCTATTCCATTATAATGCTGAACACTGATCAGCATAACATGCAAGTGAAGAAGAAGATGACTGAGGAGGACTTCATCAAGAACAACAGGAACATAAATGGGGGCAGTGATCTCCCACGTGAGATGTTGTCTGAGCTATACCACTCAATCTGCCGAAATGAGATTAAGACAACACCTGAGCAGGGTTTGGGATATTTTGAAATGTCTCCTAGTCGTTGGATAGACCTAATGCGGAAGTCAAAGTCTACGTCCCCATATATTGTTGGTGACTCTCAGCCTTTCCTCGACCATGATATGTTTGCTGTTATGTCTGGCCCTACTATTGCTGCCATTGCGGTGGTATTTGATCATTCAGAGCATGAAGTTCTCTTGACTTGTGTAGATGGCTTTTTGGGTGTTGCAAAGATCTCTGCATTTCATCATCTTGAGGATGTTCTGGACGATCTTGTTGTTTCTCTATGCAAATTCACCACTCTCTTGAATACTTCTTTGGTTGAGGAGCCAGTTACTGCCTTTGGAGATGATCTTAAAGCTAGGTTGGCAGCTGAGACATTGTTTACTATAGCTAACAGATATGGGGATTACTTACGCACTGGATGGAGGAATGTATTGGATTGCATCCTGAGGCTGCATAAACTAGGGCTTCTCCCTGCCCGTGTTGCTAGTGATGCAGCTGATGATTCTGAGCTTTCTGCTGAAGCAGTCCAAGGAAAGGCTGCTCCTAGCGCAGTTCCCCCATCTCATATTCCAATGATGGGTACACCTCGCAAATCCTCTGGGCTTATGGGAAGATTTAGTCAGCTGCTCTCTCTTGACTGTGAAGAACCAAGATCACAACCAACGGAGCAGCAACTTGCCGCTCACCAGAGGACTCTTCAGACAATTCAGAAATGCCGCATCGATAGTATATTTACAGAGAGCAAATTCTTGCAGCCTGATTCACTATTGCAACTTGCCAGGGCTCTGATTTGGGCTGCAGGCCGACCTCAAAAGGTTGCCAGTTCGCCAGATGATGAGGATACAGCAGTTTTCTGCTTGGAACTGCTGATTGCCATAACCCTTAATAATCGAGACCGAATTGTGCTCCTCTGGCAAGGTGTATACGAGCATATTGCCAACATAGTTCAGTCCACAGTTATGCCGTGTGCTCTTGTGGAGAAAGCTATTTTTGGACTCCTGAGGATATGCAAGAGTTTACTACCATACAAGGAGAATCTTGCTGATGAATTACTGAGGTCATTGCAATTAATTCTCAAGCTCGATGCACGCGTAGCAGATGCATACTGTGAGAACATCACACAGGAGGTTGCACGGCTCGTCAAAGCAAATGCGGCACATATAAAGTCACAGATGGGCTGGAGAACAGTAATATTGCTGCTCTCCATTACAGCTCGCCATCCGGATGCTTCCGAAGTTGGTTTTGAGGCTATCGTGTTTATCATGACAGAGGGGGCTCACCTTTCTCTAGCGAATTATGGCTTCTGCATCGAAGCGTCACGGCAGTTTGCGGAGTCTAGAGTTGGTTTAGCTGATAGGTCTGTCTGTGCCCTGGACTTGATGTCTGACTCTGTCAGAAGTCTTGCCTTGTGGTCCCAAGAGATAAAAGCAACATGTGAAGAAGGGGAGAAAGGGCTGGAGGCGATAAGGGAGATGTGGCTCAAACTGCTGCAAGCACTGAAAAAATTGAGCCTGGATCAGAGAGAGGAGGTGCGAAATCATGCGTTGGCTTCTCTCCAACGATGCCTAACAGCAACAGAAGAAATCTGCCTCCAGTCTGCGACATGGTCTCATGCCTTTGACCTTGTCATATTTTCCTTGCTTGATGACTTGCTGGAAATCAGTCAGAATCACTCCCAGAAGGACTACAGAAACATGGAAGGGTCCCTTGTGCTTGCCATGAAACTAGTTGCAAAAGTATACCTTCAACTCTTGCCGGACCTTTTTGGCCTAAGCAGTTTCTGCAAACTGTGGCTGGGAGTCCTGAGCCGGATGGAGAAGTATATCAAGATCAAGGTCCGAGGCAAGCGGAGTGACAAGCTGCAAGAGGTGATCCCGGACCTGCTCAAGAACATTCTACTCGTGATGAAGAACAAGGGCATCCTTGCGAAGAGGAGCACGATTGGGGGTGACAGCTTGTGGGAGCTGACGTGGCTTCATGCGAACAACATCTCAACTAGTTTGCTGGCTGATGTTTTTCCAAGTCAGGAGTATGAGCAACAGAGCAGTGCCGGTAGCCCAAGAGGGCCCAGTCCTGTAGAGGCGTAGTGCTAAAAGTTTAAGTTGTCTGCGACCGTGTGTGTGTAAGTTTTATTTGTTTAACTAGGTTTACTACTACTCGTGCCCTAATCCATTGAAAGTGTAAGGTTTTGGTATTGTAATTGTGTTTCGCCTCCATTGCAAGTATTATAGCATGTGTTCATTCGGGCGAGCCCAAGACATGCTTATGTTCCTTGCTGGCGATTGGTGTTTTCCGTTACATAAACATCTGCACGATCAAATTGACATGCTCTGTAAATTGAATAGTATTGCTCTCTAAGTCTCTAGTACACATTTTTAACCCTCAATCTGACGAGAATACTCGTTTTTGGCTTTTTGCTAGGAAGCTGTCGTGCCGTACATGAGTACATCTGATATAGCTGATGATATGCTTTCATATAATATGACAACTTTAACTGTCAAGCCAATCGCTTAGTTTATTTGTGTTCATATTACCATTGATTTTGCCTAATACTCCGCGCCCCCCAGTGTTTCTCATCGCGAAATGCCACAGCAAAGTTCCAAGTAACGGGAACGAGGCGAATAATTTACAATCCCACAGCCAAACACAGCTAGTACTATCTTTTTATTCAGTCGTATACTTAAATACAATGGACATACAATCCGCATTGATGCAATACACCCTCAACGGCAATCCTCTACAGATTTAGACATCCCTATCGGTTTCTCAGCAATCACATGAATCTCGGAAGGTAGCTGCAGGCCAGCAGCAGCAATCTCAGGCCTTCAGGGATGGGTGGCGCCTCCCTGGATATGATCACTGACTGGTGGGGGGTTGACCACAGGAATATCCAAGCTGCCGCCATCTGCCTCTGGGGAGACCTCCCGAACATCAGCGATCAGCGCTTCTGACTGCTGGAAGCCACCCCACTCTGCATCGCCAACAGGACGGATGTCCACCCCATCCACAGCCAGCTGGACCTCAGTGCTATCGCTTGAAACCAGCACTGATCTAGAGTCACTTACGCAGGCTTTGTCCACATCATCATCCGATGCATCAACATGCTTCGTTAAGGGAGGGGAATTGTCGGCGCCTGAACATGATTCAGACCTCTCTTCACATACTTGCTTTGTGCTGCTCTGCTCTCTGCATCAGTGAATTTGTGTTTTGGTCATTAGCCATCACAGTGTAAAAAAAGCATACATATTACACAAACTGCGTATATGTTGTAGGAGTGAGAACAAACCTCTGGACTTGTGATTGGAGAACACCAACCAGGGCTAGAAGCTCCTCCTTTTCTTTCTCAACAGTATGCAATTTTTCAGCAGCTTCCTTAATCCGAGCTGCAGCATCAGCTTCAGAAACTCTTGCCTTCTCCTCTGCTCGGGCAATAGTTGCTTGCTGTATCACTGCTTGCTCCCTGGCTTTTCCTAGTTCAATGCGCCACATATGAGCCTCTTGAAATGCAGCATCTCTTTCCTTCATCAACTGCTCCTTCTCTTTGCTCAGGCTGATAACCTTCTCTTCTGATTGTCTAAGCTGCAATGTCCACAAGACCATATTAGCATCACGAATTCAGAGGGTTAACAAATCAAAAATAATATAAAAATTTTACCTTAAGCATTGATTGCTCTATTTGTCTTTCCAAGGCTTGTTTTAGTCGCTCAATCTCCAAACACAAAAGTCGCCTCTGTTCATCCATTGTATGAGCTGCGGAAGCAGCAGCTTCTGCAGCCTCTGCAGTTTCTGTTAATTTGTCTGCTATTTCCTTTATTGTAGCATCTCGAGAACGGATATCCTTAGCCAAATGTTGCAATTCCTCATCTTTCACTCGTAGAGTCTCCTGGGAGAAAAAAAAAAAAAACAGAGTAAATCTGTGTTTGTCACCGCACAAATACATCTGAAAAAAGTTTGGCAATGTAAATCATGAAATTACTAAATGAGCAAACAATAAGAAGGATGAGACACAAAAACATTTTCAGCTTCCCAAAGAAACCAAATTCAACTGCATATAACAGCATGGAGCATTCTGTTCTTCCCATGACAAATTTTCTCTAAATTTGTTGAGCGCATTGTATTTCGCCTCAGGCATCTCAGCTATACTTAATGGTATCAAAATACTGAAGAAATGATGCATGTGTGGTAATATAATTAGCATAAAAGTAAACTTTTAACTTCTAAGCAGCTATATTTCTGGGGTTGCAACTAAATGTAGATTCTATCACAACCTATCATTTAAAATTGATTTTAAAAAGCTCCACAACAGTACTTTTGAACAAAAATGAAGTGAAAATTATTAAGAGATGAATGCAGACCTTCATGATTGTTAGGTCATCAAGTTGGCCCTCGTTGGAGTTATTTGTACCCAACCCAAGAGCTGCCCTCATTGAAACCTTTAGTGCAGCTTCTATCTCCTTGGTAGCCTCCATGGCTGTTGCATTAGCATTAGCAACTGCAGTAGCAACTGTGCCTAATGTAGCTGGAGAGCCATTCCCAGCCAAAGAATTTACTGCCTCTTTATGAGCTCGTAAGACTAACTGAGTTGCACTGTTTAATAACAACAAAGAGCTAGTCATGATACAGCAATGAGATTGACTCCAATGTTGTGTTTTAACCATGCAAAGGAGATGGTACCATAGCAAGTAGCAACAAAGCACACAAAACTACAGTCAGGATGCAGCAACAGGGATAGAACTCAACATTGAGTAGCTTAAATCACGCAAAGTAGATTTCCCCGTAATACTACAATACGCCAGATTAGGAACTAGTAAGATGCAGCATGTGTAGCTGAAAAGAATAAACAGATTACACCACATCACGTAAATCTGATCGCACTGAAGGGTTCTTCAGGTTATTTTATTATTAAAGTACTGTAAAATAGAGAATCCCCAGTCTAAGCACGAAGGCTCATATCATGCATTCTCGGAACAACATTGAAGTAGATCACATCCTTTAGATCTGCATCGTTGGAAATTAGAAAAAGTAGTTTCGACTGGGAGACTGCTAGGATTCAATTATCAAATGGAAAGCACTCCACTCTCATATTGGAGTCTGCATTCTTGCACTGAGATAAAGGTTTGCTAGGTACTTTGGCTATTAATATACAACAGACAGAAGTGTGAAACAAGCAATACTGTGGAATGTACTGACTGGTCAGGGATCAGAAAGCTTACTGTAATGTAGATACCCAAGCTTTCGCGGCACCAGGAGTTTCAGCGCAAAGAAAGTAATCCTTCTTTTGCGGAGTTCCGATGTCTAAATACAGTAAAGGAATAGTAAAACCTTAAAACATGTGATTCCTCTATATATAACTATTTAAGAAACCCTTTCTGAAACAATCTCTTTGAACGAAATATAGGGAAATAGGATACAGAAGCAGCAGCCATCATATTTTGGCATCCCTCTGCAAAAAGTTGAGCAACAATTGGGTTATAACGCTAAAAATTTAGGTACGACGTACTATGGAAAGGTTATGTTCATGACGCAATCTTACTGAAAGTTCACAGGAGATAAAGTAATGGTGCTTGAGGCGTCAAACAGAATGGTCCCCTTAATGGCAGTTTCATTTCTCCGGAGTCTGCACCAATACATCAGTGACTGCTGATTAGGTACTAGTTGTAATTTACTTGGCATTCCCGGTTATTAAATGGGCAAGGTTCCATACTTGTATTCCATCTTTCCAGATGTCGGATCCAATATGACCCAACGTTCATTCCATTTCCGTAACTGCTTGAGAGGTCATAAGAGTTTGGAGGATGAAATTGTTAGATAAGACTTAGAAGGACGACCTAATCAGGAAATGAAAAAAACTATGTTCACTACGATCATACAGCTGTGTATATGGAAACAGATGGTCCCAGGTGAATCACTCGAGAGTACTTTCTAACAGAGTTCCTATGCAATGTGTGGTCATCCCAACCATTCACGCTTCCACCCCCCAAAATCTAACGATACATCCCCAATATTAACAGCATGCATTTCAACCAATTCTACTATACAGATGCGATGATATTGACTATGTACATAAGGTCCCTGCTAGAACCAAAATTATTAATACAAAAGTGTAAGCAAAACACAATTCATTCTAAGACAATTACGAAAACACATTAAAAATGCATACCCCAAAGAAGCCCCCGCAACCAACCATATCAGTAATTACTACATAATCAACACATATTAACACCAAAACTCAGCGCCAAAGCTGAACCCTTCAACGCCAAAATTCGGCCCTATGGTTAGCGAAATCTAGCACCAAGTTCAACTCTTCACAGGCCTAATTAAACAAATACAATCCATCACCCTATGAACGGCTTGACTTGGGCCAGGAATTGCCATACCGTCTCAGATCGCTTGAGCAGGGGCCCTTGCAGCAGGTACCTCCCGGACCCCGACGACAGCTGCCGCTTCACCTTCTCCAGGCTGCTCTCCGTGTCCCGAACCCTCTGCAAAATCCCCCAACCCCCTCAAAAAAAATATCAGCCAAAACACCACCAATCTAAAACAGAAACAGACATGCTGGGCCTCGGCGCGCGTACCGCGGAGCTGCCGTTGGTGGCCATGGCGGGCGCGGGGCTGGAGGCTAAGGGGTAGTAGGGTTTTGGAGGGCGGAGACGGACGGTGACGGGCGGGGCGGGCAGGTAGGTTGGTGGAGGTGCGCGACCGGCCGGTGGGGAGGGCGTACAGATCGATGGGCGGAAACCTCCGCTGCCGGAAACGCTTCTGCTACGCTGGCGGGCACGACCCGCGAGGTGTCGGTCATGTAGTGTGGGCCCTGCGGCGAGGTCGCGGGTGTCAGTGACCCAACTGCTGCTTGGCTTGTGGGACTGGGGGCACGGTGGGAGCGCAGTCTTGTTTGGGGTGATCTGTCGTGTCTTGAACTCTTCTTATCCATGCCTATCATACGCAGGGTGAAAACAATAGTATGGATAATTTCTCAATCCAAGAATATGAAACCGAGTTAGTATTCTCACAATAACATCCAATATATTGCCTCGTTTAGATTACAAGTTTTTTCACTCTCTCTCCATCATATTAAATCTTTGGACACATGGAGTATTAAATGTAGATAAAAAAATAACTAATTACACAGTTTGATTGTAAATTACGAGATAAATCTTTTGAGCCTAGTTAGGCCATGATTGGACAATAATTATCAAATACAAACGAAAGTGCTACAGTGTCAAATACTGATTCCTAACGCTCATCTAAACCAGGCCTATTTTTTATTGTGGCATAAACGATCATTTCAGTCAGGTTCGGAATTTCGGCCGGTTTTCACTAAACGTCGGTGTTTTCGGACCATCGACGAGTAAATTTGTATTTGCACGTCTGGCTCGAACAGTGTGCTCGGATGACACAAGGATTTATACTGGTTCGGGCAGAATATCCCTATGTCTAGTTCGCTGCTGCTCGTGTTATCGACACTTAGTTTACAGTAGGGGTTACAAACAGGCAAGAGAGAGAGAGAATCTCAAGTCTCTAGTGGAAGGAGTGAATGGGTGTTGAGAGCTCGCTTGTCGCTCAGTCGTGTGCTCGTGTCGTGCTCTTGCGCCTCGATCTCTCCGCCCCCTTCCCCCTTTCGTGGGGTGCCCTGCTTCCCCTTTTATAGGCCAAGGAAAAGCGCGGATTACAGAGGAAGAAAAGAAGAAGAACGAGAATGAAGAAGGCTTCCAGGGTTGCCAGTTCCTTCTTCTCCTTCATGCGGGTCCCGCCGATTCTATAGATGTCAACAGAGACGGCTCCATGTCGTGGCCCTGTTCGTCACTGGCGCCATGCGTAGGCGTCATCTACCGGTCATGGCGTTCCACTCCCTCCCGGCGGACATCGTGGTGAGCTGGCGCGTATGTCAGCGTCCGTACGAGGATTAGGCATAACAACACCGACACGTCCGACACTGTTCTTGATGTGAATCCCCGTGTATGGCCCGTCATAGCCACGGGTTATATCGAGGCGTGCCAGCCTCTTCCTGGCGTTAGAGTTTTGACCCAGGCCTATACGCTTGGACCTGGAGTGGTTGGCGACGTATGGGTCCCCGTCGGACGAGACGGAACCCGCGTCCTCAAGATCGGGCATGACGAAACCCGCGACCTTGGGCGAGACGAAAACCACGTTCTTGGGGTCAGGCGAGACAGAGCCTGTGGCTTCGAGGTCGGGCAAGACGGAGCCCGCGGCCTCGAAGTCGGATGAGACGAAGCCCGCGGCCTTAGGCGAAACAGAACCCACATCCTTGGGGTCGGGCAAGATGGAGCCCGCACCCAAGGGCTCAGGCGAGACGGAGCATGCGGTCTTTAGGTCGGACGAGACCTTTTAATACGTCTCGAGCCATTCAGGGAAGTCAGTGTGGGCGCTAACTTTCTTACTTTGGGTATCCCTAATATCGATACCCGACACTAAAGATCATTGACTTTCGTTTCTATCTGTAACCTCCAGTGATTTCGATTCCATTTCGTTCATATTTTTTCAAATTTTAGCTAAAATTTCTTAAAAATTTGATATTTTTTACAAAAATTTCAACCGATTTTCACAGGTTTTCATGATTTTCGCTTCTATCGCCGCCCTCTAGTATTTGGCTCCGTTCACTTCACTGAAAAGCCAAGCTGAAAAGTATTGTTCACTGATTTGTTATGAGTAATGTACCATGGCTAATAAGTTCAAGCAAACAGGGCCTTTGTTTTTCAACCGGTAGGCTACACCGATTTCAGTCGTATACCATAGTGACTTAAGATGTTGAATTTTCTTTACAGAAGATTATATGCGTAATAGTATTATTAATACTAGATTTTAATACAATTTAGAATAAATTGTTAGTGTTGGTGCATTAGTATGTTGTTTTTTCTAAGGTAACAATTAGTCTTAGTGCATTAGAATATGAAAATGAGTAAAAGTAAATTATTAGTTTTAATATGAGTTTTTCTTACTCTCAAGTGCAATTACTACCATCTTTATGTGGCAGAAACGTCCGAAATAGCATGCTTCCGGAGGCGCTCATCTTCCGCTAAACGCTAAGCACCCCGAAAGTAACCTACATCGGACGGTTCCGTCGAGCACACCTCAAGGGAGAACTCGAACAATCCACGTTTTTATCCAAGATCTAATAATGAGAACGAATTTACAATACTTAGTCCATTTCATACAACAAGAGTTCTCGAAAATACATTATTACACTACCAAGTTCAGAGTGTGGAATTTAAACAGCGGAATTGAAATAAACATCTAATGATAAGATACAAGGATCCATCTGTGTCCACCAGAAGAATCCTCCACACAACAGTCACTCCTCAAGCTGCACCTGCAACAGGGGTAAATCAACCCTGAGTACACAATATACTCGTAAGACTTACCCGACTAGTGAGAATAATTTCTCGTAACACTTAGTATTTTGGCAACAGCAACTCTTAAAATAAGAATACACATGCTAAGATACTAAGCTTGCTCTAATGACTAAGACACTAAGCTAATCATTATCTCTACCAAATGGATTCCAAGCTCACCCTACAAGTGCTTAATTTTTATAAACCAATATCATGCCATTATTCATTTAGCCTCAATAGGTATTTAGCTACCATATTAAATAGTCTATTTGAGGGCTACAAAAATTACAGTGAGCACATAATAATACAATAAAGCTACTATAAAAAATTTCAGGGTTTTTACTATCACCAATCTACCACAAAAATTCCTACAACAATTAACTTAATAATATTGAGCACTCTCAAATGATTTAATAGCTCCTGGTATCAATAAGAAAATATATGAACTAAATACGCTACCAGATAGAGCACAATTTTAGGAACCTAACCAAATTTGTTTCACAATTTTTGGATATCTATATTATTTTATATCAATTACCAAAGTTCAGCTCAGAATTAAAATGAAAAGCTATTTCTATTTTCCACAAAAAAGATAAACTGATTTCGGCCTAACGTGGCCCACAGCAAGGAGCCCCCACGCGTGCTAGCACTCTTGCAAAAATGCCCTCGCGCTATCAGTCAATAGCGCGAACACTACATGTACTATTTCTATAGACAGCGACTTTGCAACGGAGCCCTCGTATCTTTTCACCTTCGCACCGAAGAGGTCCCCGCGACGGCCCGTGCTCGCCGACATGGCGGGCGGTGGCACTAGGCGGTACACCGGCTACCCGAGACCCTTACAGATCTAGCTAGTGGACCGATGCTCACCTATGGGCCGACGCACGATGATGGGCGGTGGTTGCATGAACGGGGGTGAAGCAGAGTGGGCTCTCCCCGGCGGCGGCGACCTGCAGCGGAGGTAACCGCATTCCGGTGAGCCACAGTGTACAATAGATAATAGAGGTGATGGGTAAGCATCAGTGACGCACCACGATCTGGTGAGACATGTGACGTGCATGAATTTTAAAACGCTCAACACGACCTAACAGTTGCTTCTGGACCTAAACCATCTTTACCGTGCTTAAGATGGCATATGAGACTACCAAATCAAGCTATACCACTACACCATTTCTTAACCCAATCTCTCACAATAAATTGCTAAGCATAGTGATATCTAGCTGTTGACAAACTAGTTTTTGAGCTGGATTTGTTTTCAATTTGAAATTTCTAAGCTAGTGAAAATATTAGCTAGTAATATCATTTTTCGACCGCAAGTATTTCACTGTCATCTACAAAGTTTGTACTTCAAACCTTATTTAAGTATCACACACATGTTCTATAGTATTTTTGTTCAATAAAAATTAGTTTACACCCCTACTTGCTAACTGTACAACTCGTGGAGCAACTTTCGTTTCGCTTTTTTGTTGATCGTTTTGAGTTATGGAAATTGATCTATACACTTTATCACATGCATTAACACATAAACATGATGCTCATGACATAGTTTAGCAAGTTGTTTAAGCGGTAACACCGAGGGTGTTATAGCTCTACCCCTTAAACAAAATCTTGTCCTGAGATTTCATGTGCCTAGTGTGGGAAAAGATATAAGAAATAAATTTCGATTTAAACAATTACCTCGGTGAACTAGAAAGAAGGTGGAGATAATGCTTCAAGATATAGCTTTCTTGCTTCCACGTTGCTTCGTCATCCGATTGATTTTACCACTGAACTTTATAAAACTTCACCACATTGTTTCTGGTCACTCTTTCTTTTTCATCTAAGATCTTGATAGGATGCTCAATATAAGAAAGATCAGGTTGAAGAGTGAGTCCTTTAATTTCCACAGCTTCATCGGGGACCCATAAATATTTCTTTAACTGGGAAACATGGAAGACATTATGTACTACTGACAAAATATCTAGGAGCTAGATACGGTAGGCAACAGAATCGCACCGAGCCAAAATCTTGTAAGGTCCAACATAACGAGGAGCTAACTTTTCCTGAACACCAAAGCGATGCACACCTCTCATCGGGGATACCTTTAGGTACACATGGTCACCAACTTCAAACTGCAAGGACCTTCTTCGCTTGTCCGCATAAGTCTTCTGACGACTTTGAGCAGTCTTCAAATGACTTTGAATAACACTGACTTGCTCTCTCGCTTCTTTGATAAAATTAGGTCTGAAATAACCACGGTCTCCCACCTC